TGAATAAAAAGTATTAGCATGCTTGGAAGTGATTATAAGTTATGGATCATGTAATATGTGAATAATAAGTGGGTAGTAGTTACAAGTCCTACTAAATGCGTGGATAAAAGTATGCTTGACAAGCTTATCTAATTTAAGTTCTGCCTAGCACAAAAGTTTAAACACAAAAACTAGGACACCCGATAGTACAGAAAAGACATATTAAGCATGAAAGTATGTACGAGATCAGTCATATAGATGACAATTCCGAGGAGTTGCTGGACTTGATCGAAAGTGAGACCTAGGAAATTGTCAATTTGTGTTGCAATGTTGGGTTGGAGGAGATATAGTCATGGTGAAAGAAATTTATGCAGCAACACTGTGAGAATCAATATCTGGGGGAAAACAATAGGATGTCACAATATAAACAAAAGCATTTCGAAGAATTGGTATGAAGATTCTTAAAATTGCATTCTGGGATAATGATAGCTCTGTCTTGAGAGTCCAAATAAGAGAACATTCCAATGAATGGCGATCAGAAATGGAAAACTCATTTTTAGGCCTCTCTTTCGGCGAGATTCCAAGCTGCCAAAATCCTTCTTTAAGATCAAACTCGGAGAATGTTTGAGAGAGGAAAATTTTCATCTGCTAGGAAATGGTTTAGTGGTTGATAATTGATTACGAGCCATAATTTTCCTAGAACATGTTCTGTTCGTTAGTTCACGTACAATACTGACATGTCCATGGGGAATTTATTGGTGAGAATGATTCCTTTGTATAGTTGGTACATCTCTTGCTTTGCTAGCTTGTAATGGTCTGTGTTCCCTCTATGAATAGCCTTTGTGTAGGATTTATGTTTTCATTCTTCTCTAATGGCAAGGGTACTACTAAAGAATTCAGGATTTGTCCAAAGAGGATATTCACGAGTTTGGACAATTTCTTGCCTAATTAGGCAAAGAACTTCTACTGGATATAAATGGGAGATCTTAGTTCATGGTCGAAGTTTGTTGCTCTGAGGGGTGTGAAACAATTATTTTACTTCTAATGCTGAAAATATAAATAACCTCGCCAGATCTGTCGACGGGAGTTTCTTGGATGCATATGCAGTGGACTTCCCTCATCTACTTTATTGAATAGCCGGAAAGAGATGCTGTCGATTTGCATTTGATCTTCAATTCAGGCTTATCACATGCAAAACCAAGATTTTTCTTTAATACCTCTAAGAATTAATTCCCTAGACGAAACAAAGAATCTTCTCAGGAACTTAAATTAAATTCTTTTGACAATGAAGAATAAATACTCTGGAAATTCTTATGACAGATCCAACAATTCTTGAAGACAAGGATGATGATCAATATCAAGAACATGACCAGAATCACTTATTTCTCGAGAAAGCAGTATAAATGGTGGATAGCATTGAGACCATATCGACAAGCAATGATCAAACAATCCTTGAGTGAATAAATAATTTTGCTTAGAACCATGGCTAAGGAGAATGCCGAAAAAAGTAGAATATTAATTTACTTATAAGTAATTATATTTAGTAATCTACTTTTAAGTAAATAAATAAATTAGACAATTTGCTTATAGATATTTACATCTAAAATAAAGGAAAGCTTTCAATTAAAAGGCTCTTTTAGATATTTTCCAATTTAAAATGTCAAAAGGCACAGCAAATAAGATTGTAAAAGTCAAAAGAAGGAAAAGGAAAAGAAAATAGGAAAAAATACACTTGTTAATGTGATAAATGTGGACAAAATACATCTAAAATAAATAAGGCTTACTTGAACGTAAATTTCTAAAGAACATGTCCCTATTTGTATAAATCAATCTTAGCATTAGCCATCTAACATTCACCCCCTCACTTTGCAAAAAAGGCTAGTTAGTGTACGATAGGCGACTGGTCTCAAGAAAATACGAGATGAATCGCAAATGAACTAGCTTGGGCCTCACCCTATTTCAAGTTACTTAGCGAGAGGGGTAGGTTGGGGGAAGGTGTCAAATATAATTAATAAGACTCGATAACTTTCGATGTGATATTATATAGAACCAAAATCACCACAAAATATTGTAGCGATCAATTACGATATTAACTAATGGTAACCTATAATTTAAATGTAGTAAAAACAATCTATCTACATATAATATAATAATAATGATAATATATACGTCAAGTCATAATTTTCGACGATCTACATAATCTTCTTTAATCTCATTGACATCCCCCTTTAAATAGATGCTTCAATTTGCAATCATGATTTGGCATACTTGTGCCCACAAAGAAGAAATCCAAATCAGAGCAACAATTTACGAAAATTAATAACGTCAAGAGACCAAGAACAACAAATAGTGTAGAAACAACCAAGGATTATTCAAAAGCCACTCCAAAAAATTCCAAAACAGGAATTACTCCAAAGACACTTCAGAGAGCTCACTCCCCAAGAAGAGTTTCCAAAAGAAGTTCACGAAGTGTGTCAACACACAGTAAGCTTTATCTGTCAGGAGAACACAGTCGAACACATAATGACAAAAGCTCTAACGCCAATGCACAGGCCAAAATTCCAGCAACATATCACCAACTAAGATGCTGTATTTGGAAGAAATTCCACCTAACAGCCTACAACCAAAAACTCATAGATCATCTTCTGAAAATCCAAAACTCTAGCGCATCGCTTGGCAACCAAAACTCAACTGTCTGCACTCCCATGTCTCTCTCGACTCCTTAACCAAATTTATTTTATTTTATATTATTATCATTATTTTCTTAGCAGCGTCTTTGCAAACCCAAAATAATAAGCCCCAAAAAAAACCCACGGGCAATTTCTGCTTGTCATACCTCCCAATACATCTAGTTCCCGGTTCAACAGCCTTAAGTCCATTTACAACCCATACATACAACCTGCCCAACAATTGCAGCCCAACAATTTAACCCATCCACTAATCCTGCTCATATACACCAAAACCGTAGCCCACAAAAAAGGCCTAGAACACAAACAGGCCCATCCCTACTTTCCAAACCCCAAAAACCCATCGTCTACATCACAGACTCCCACAATCTCGCCAATATACCACCGTACCGTCGACGGCCATCACATCTCCAACCACGGCCAATTTCTCTAACCCATTGCTACAGTCGCTGCACATGCAAAGTCACACCCATCCGCCGCCGATCACCATCACCACCTCCTACAACCACAATACTCAACTCACTTTGTAACTGCCACCGCTTCATCGCCTAACTCCACATTCACGCTTGGCCTCTTTTCTCTCCAACCACTACACCATATTGTTTCCAAACTCACAAATCATAATCACACAAACAGCCCAGAAACCACTGCTTCAGTCCGCGTCTGCCAAAATTTGGTTTCGGTTTCCCTTCCATGTTGTTTTGTCTATGTCTACTTCGAAGTGGACTCTTGAAGACTGCCATGGCCATCGGGGTTTGAACAGGGCTATCCAATTTAGGTGACATGAATAGAAGAGATGGTGGCAAAAGAGAGACTCTCCGTCAATCTCAATTGCACACTCAGAAGTTGATTGAAATTTAGGTTTAATGTATCAAGAAGAAATAATCTTTAAAATGAAACCAGCTTTAAATAACACGAGACGCTTCTCCCGTCTTGAGAAAACTCAACCAAGAACATGAAAGAAAATTCTAAGAAATTGACTCTAATACCATGTCAAATATACGCAATAAGTCTCGATGCCTCCCGATGTGAGAGGTTCTCTCATTATATAAAACCAAAATCACCACTAAATATGATAGCAATCAATAACAATATTAACTAATGGTAATCTTTAATTTAAATATGGTAAAAATAATCTATCTATATATAATACAATTATAATAATAATATAAGCGTCAAGTCGTAATTTTTGACGATCTCCGTAATCTTCTTTAACCTCATTGACAAAAGGGAGGATAAGGGTTAATTGTTGATCCAAGTTCCATAACATGTCAATCTCAGTTAACGAAAAATAACAGTAAACATAAAGCAAGAATTTTGGATCAAAATAAAAACACAGCCTAGTATATAATATCATCACGAGTTTACAAACCATTAACTTTTAGAATGTATCCATATAAATCCAGAATTCTATGGATAAAAATAAGTTTTTTATTTTCCCACCACAGATTAAATATATAGAAAATAACAAAAAGTTTTAATCTTAAACATATAAGAACTACTTCCAAGCCATCTAATTTGAGTGAGCAGATTCAGAGAATACATCACCAAGTGCAAAAAGACTTCTCGAAAACAACATGCAAATTTTGGCGATTGAGAAGGCACAAGCTCGAATGCACAAGCTCCAAGAAGCATACCTTCGAATTTCAATTAAGATAACACAAGATTTATAAATCATCCTAGTGAGTAAGCCATTCTCTCAGAGAGCTCCTTTCCCACAACTATCTGGTATCGATGCAACTGGGTCTCAATGAACTTTCTGTGACTGGGATCAAACGCTTGTTGAAGATCCTTAAATAAAGGAAAGATTGCAGTTACATTATAAAATGTGAGAAATTTAGCAATATTTTTAACGCTTTTTTACTTAAAGACTTGCTGCTTCAAATGCTCAGTTCTACACTATTATAGGAGTGGATGCATTATAGTAACAACAGACAATGATATCAATCAAGCAGTCTATTATAGGAATCAGTTGGCACGAATAAAGTTGGCAAGCTTTTAAAAGGGAATTTCCATAAGTTCATTCGAGCGAATGATGGATAAAGCATCTTAAATCATGTCTACTCTTAGGGTCAAAACATTTAGACGATTCAGTGGTGCATTACGACAAATAAAAGTAGTAGATTAGGCTAAAAGTGCATAGTAATACATAGAAGTACCAAAAGGTTGCATGAATTGAATTCTCGTGATGCGTAAATAAAAAGTAAGATTTCTCTTTTAAATTTGCCTAATGCACGATTCTCTTTAGGTTTGTATAACAGCATAAGCTCAATTTATAGCAAGATTAGACACATGGCAAAAAGTGACTTCACACTTCTAATCAATTCATTTCAACATCTGACTCATGATATTGATTGACAATAATAAACCTCACCGACAGGGGCATCACTTGAGAGATCCTCAGTGAGTAGCCTTTTCTTCAGATTCTTATGATTTTTTGAAAGGTGAAAGTCAAAACGAAATCAGCTGAAATTTGATGATAAGGTCTTCGATTTTGAAGTTATTACTTCGAAATTTTGAGGACTGTGAGATGACGATAATAAGTTTATTTCTGTTCACTTAAAAACAGAGAGTAGGAGCTGTGTGTTGTGTGACTTTTTTCAGGTTGGTGACTACCTCTAAGATTTGTGAAATGAAATGAGGTAGGAGGTGAGATTGAGCCAATTGAGTCGTGGTTTGCACAATTAGATCCTCGATATTTTTCTTCGAGAAAAGAAAAAGATATTTCTGTCAAACAAGCTTTTTACATGCCAGGCAATTTAACTGTTTAATGATATCATATGATCTAATCTCTATGAATTATGCAAACATAAACTAAATCAATACAACCTAAAAATTCACCAGAATATTATATACCTTGTATTTAAGATGAGCTCCCTTTAACCCTATCAAAATATTACTGGCATCAACATCTTCTGATTCCACTGTTGTTGGATCACTGGATTCAGAGTCTGATTCATTGTCTGAATCCTCTGAATCAAGTTCGGTCATTTCTTCATCATTATTAAAATAAATGTCATTTGAACCTTCCTGGAAAGGGTCATCATGTTGCTCTTCCATTTCCATATAATTATCAGTAATATTTCTAGGTTGGGCTGATGATGAATCTCCATTTTGTGAAGGATCAAAATCAGATAAGACCACATACTTTCTCCTGTCTAGAAGTACCTTCGCAACATCATATGGAACCCACCTAGACAGTCTCGTGTTAGAGATAATGACTAAAAAGAGAGATCAGGATGCTTATGGTAGCTCACATATAAGACTCCAAATATGTTAACAATCACGAGGAAGTGCTAAAACTACTATATGTAATAAAATTATAGATCTGCAATCCAGAATGGAGCATCAGTTTTTACAAACAGAAATAATCTAGTGAATAAAAAAAACAACCAAGCTCAAGTAAAAAA